CAATAGCCCGGAGCCATCCGGTTGGCGGGGAAGGGAGGGGGCGCCGGCAGAAGATGCAATCCGCGCTGCGAATTCCAGCAGTATTGCAATATTCGTTACAATATTTTAAAAAGGTTTCTCACTGTGTTTTTTGGAGGCTGTAAAGTTTCAATTGTGACAGGCGTGAAATTTCATGGACTTTACAATGTGTAATTTGAGTTTTTATGGTAGGCATGTGCAGACTAAAATGACAGGGAGTGTGTCCAATACTTCTGGCTTTGTTTCGACTGTTTTATTTACATATTTTTATTTATTTGCCAAAACAATCTCCCAGTGACCCACTTTTTAAACCTATTTTCATACTACCATCATGTTCCCTCATTATACGAATGCCAAAAATCATTATTCTCGTTTTTTTTACTAATATTGAATTCTTAATTTAATTTTATAAAACAATCTTCTTTGATAATTTGTTCCTACTTAAATGATTATTAGGATGAATATGTAAGTACACAATTGTTTTTACTTCAGCAAACCTCATTTAGAACTGCATAGTAGGAATTTGAAATTTGGAGTTACATCTAAGAAAATATGAAACCTCCTTTGATAGTTTTTCTCTACTGGTTTGAGTTTTAATTTACAGCACAATTTCTATTGCTCTTATTTTATACCTTTAGAATAGTGTTATTTTCAGAATTTACTAGGGATTAACAATTTTTATATTGTCAAACTTTGTAATGTATATATAACTGGTATTCCATGTAACAGTGCAAACTTCATGCTGGGAGGTGTGAACAATTTTTGAAGACTGCTGGCCAAAGGAAGACACCATTAAGTGACATCAAATTGGGCCTACCAAGGTTTTCAGACCTGTGTTATCCAATTCAAATCATTTGCAACATAACTTGGTTATTTAAAAACTGCCTTATTTTACTCATCCTTCACTAAACACACACCTCGTCCGTACGCACTGCCATCGGCCTCCTCGCAGCTGATCGTGGCCTAGTCGCCGGTGACTTCTCGCTGCCCTCTTGCGGCGCCTTTCGCCATCGTCAGCTTCGTCCTCCCCCCCCCCTGCCCCCGACGTTTCGTTTACGCCGGCATGTGAATATTCCTTGCACCGCAATTAAGGAATCGTGCGTATCCCAGGTGTATGCGTACTCGCTCACACTGTCCTAAATATGCCGCTTATTAAAACTTACTTTATCACAGCACGAACTATTTCCCTCCTTTACTGCCTTCAGCACCACAATGAAATGATAAATTCTAAATTATCTCCTCGCGTCTTCATTGAAGAAAACATTACTTCAGAAAATTCTAAAACAAGTTCACGGACGGCTATCTAGGCGTCTGTCCGACGTCCAATACTCCTACCTACTGACCCGGCGAACTTGTTGGTGGATCGGCGGTTAAGAACTGAAGAGAGTGCTGCTGGCTCGCCGATCGGAAACAAAAGAGAAAGCATGATCGTCTGCTCGCCTATTCATGCAGGCGCCCTCCGTGTAGACACGTCATCTCCGCCTGACTGATTCCGTCATTTACCTGAGCTGCGCCTCGGATATAGGGCGTAACAGTATTGGAAGCTGCAGGCGCGCCCTTTTCAAATTGCGCCGCGCTCGCTCACCCGGTCCACAGAGCGATCAGTCATGTGATCGGTATTTTTTGACAGCCACTGATACCATACCTCATGGATCATGCCTGGAGGCGTGGCCCGTTGATAAACATGCAGAAATGACTCGGTTTCATTTCACGAACGTTGGCTAACGTGTCGAGGCGCCGTAGCACAACCTAATGTATTATCATTCCGACAAAGGAGAATGTTCAATGAAAAATATCTTATTATAGTAATAAAATGTTGAAGAATTCTGAAACTATATTCAAGATTACTATTTTTAAAAGTTAGTAACCGACATGTACAGTGTTCAATTAGAATGTAGAGAGTTCACTGCAGAAAAGAGGTGCAGCTAACAAGACTTCTCTTTTGTTGGCGGGCCTTTTGCCCGAGTTTCAAGGACTGTGTTGGTGGTTTTGCCTGCCATCCCCAGAGACGGGCGTCGGCCGACTCCTTCTCCTCGGCCTGCTCAACCTCTGTGAGATCGGCGACACAGAGAGTAAACGTGAACGATTTCACTCCACATATTTCGGAGAATTTCCTTTATTTATTTAATATTTATATTATATTCAATTCGTTTAAATATTATTTGTAACAATATACTAATAAGTTAAATTAACAATTTAACAGTTAAATTAGCCATTTATAAAATATTTAATTTGTAATTGCTTGCATTTTAATTACTTTATTTCATATAGTAGATATTAATTTTTGTAATAATATTTAATCTAGTTTATGATAAATATCAATAGTTTTTAAGCAACTTTAGCAATGAGCCCACCCCAGAAGAGAGAAGAGACGCAGCATCAGTGCCAAGAAGACATTTTTTATTGCAAGATTTGTGGAAGAGCTGATGATGCTATGCAACATAGAAACTTCTTCAGTTATTGACAGAACTGCCAATACATTGAGGCTGAAAACTCACATTTTTCAAAAGTATGTAAAATGATAATAAATGTGTCACGTGAAATTGTTTTGAATAATGTTGAATTTAAATTTACAGATATTGGAAGCAAGGCCCTGCCTGATACTGCTCAATCTTCAAAAAGGAAGTGTCCAGGAATAGAAAGGAACAAAATGTGTAGTGAATGATTTTGGATAGGGCTTGATTAGGGACATTATTTATTCAATGTATGAGAATGGTAAGTAATTTATTTACATTTGCATGTAAGCTAATTCCTATGTTGTATTGAATAATACAATTTTCTCACGACATACTGCTACTCAGACTGTTACTCAAATATTATAGTGATATAGTATTTATGGAGGGGAAAACTACGTTGTCTTATCTTTTTTGTGCCATGGGGTTTGAATGAAAAAATGCTGACAAACGCAGGTCACAAATGGAAAGAGATGATATTGTTATTGCAAGATCTGATTTTTTTAAGGAATATATGAAACTGCAGGCTGGTTATGAAATTGTGTTTTTGGATGAGACAATATTTTATTCTAAATGCATGCAAAAAATCTACTAAATTTGTACTGTTGAAAGTTATGAATTTCTAGATATATGTGAATGGAGAGGGCATGATTTGCATGTAATGAAATGAATCTTTTGAGAAATAGTGTGTAAAGACATATGAGAGATGAATATTGTTTGTCTAGTTTGAAGCACCCACATAGTGGTTTAATATGATTTTGGCGTTCGTCACTATATATATATATATATATATATATATATATATATATATATATATATATAGTGACGTCATGGGATTGTCATAACGCCACCTCTAGTACCTGTGAACACCCACAAGCAGCGAGGATAGCATACGCGGCGGAGCAGTGGCTCTTCAACGGATAACAGGTTGCGCGTTTATCGTACTAGAGCGCTCGAACTAGCGAGCAACGTTTTTCCCGTGGAGAGTTGAAAGAGAAGCAACCCCACTCTTAAAATGTCCCCAGGCGTCGAGCCGTAAATACTGTAACACGCTTCGGGAGCGCTCTCTGAAATTCCAGCAACGACGGCGAACACATCGGCAGCGCTTGAATCACAGCAAGGGCAGCGGACAGGTCTTCTTTAGCTAGAGTAGGAGTCTATTTAAATACGTGTGGAGCTAGAGTAGTGGAAATTACCGACGAAATAATTAGACGAAAATACCGACGTTATAGGACAGTGTAAATTTTGAAATCGGCAATAAGTCTAATATTGCCTAGATTCGCGGAGGACTCTGAATTATTCCAGTACAATCACATTGCTCCTTATTGCTGCACAAGCCAAAAGTGTAGTAGTTAGGCCGCGCACGCAAACGAAAGGGGCGCAGTAAAGTAGATAAAATTGATGCGCGAATTAATTTCTACGATGCGTGAGAAGATAGAAAAAGAAGGCATCTCCAAGAAGGCTCAAGCGTACGTGCGAAAGAGATGGTCGTGGATTGAAGGCAGGGCGTGTAGTTGCGTAAGATTTGGGGTCAGCGTGGGACTTCGAACGGTTGACGCAGCAAGCGAAAATTCGGCAAAACATTGGAGCGGCAACAACCTTAAATCGGCAAGGTCATCTGGCAGCGAGCAACGCAGCGTCGGTTAGACACGTGCGTTTGTACTACAGCAGTTTCGTTAGAAAAAAAAGCGATCACAGCAACGCGACAGTTCACTAAATCGCTTAAAGTGGGAAACAATTGTCTTGTTATGCGTGATAGAGCAAGTGTAATCCCGAATTATTTATGCATTTGAAAAAAGAGAGCCACACCTTGTACTGTTTTCCGTGAAAGGTGATTTAATTGTTTTTTGTAATTTGTGGGGAGTTAGAATTGTGTATTGTAAGGTTTAAATATTATTTATGTGTAAAGGTCAAATGCTAGAATCAGCGCACGGAAATTTAATGAAAGTCGAATAGAGAAAATTTAACGAAAATTGGATAACGGAAATTTAATGAAAGTTGAATAGAGGAAATTTAGTAAGAAATAAGAGTGAGAATGTAAACCATACTCGAGTATTATTAGGCAGTCAAGGTGACGCCAGAATTTACCCTGTGTTCTTGTCTTTAATTTCAGTGAACCAGATTTCTATTTTTGTTTTATTTATTCTGTGTAAGTGTTCATTTTTTTGTTGTGTAATTGTGCCACCGAATTTTATGGTTAAATTATCCGCTCGTTTGTCCACAATATTTTCAATTTATTGTGTCGAGGGTCCAGGCCTTTCTCTTACCCGAAAGATCCTGCTTCCTGAGAATTTTAAGCTCGCTTCACGAGCATTTATGGCTGGGGAAAATTTAAGTCATATTTATTGGTGAGAAAAATTTCTGCTAAAAAAACTTTGAGTGTGCAAATGAAACAATCTTTCAAGAAGAGTAAAAAAGAGATTTATTCGTGTTTTATAAAATACTAATATGTATTTCTAAAATATTTAACTATAACAATGGTGTATTTACATTTAAAAACTCATTCATTGAGGATGATATATAATCACAGGTATTGACAATGACTAATTGTCATTATATTATCTTTGAGTCAATATTATCATATAAAAATTGAGATTTTGTACAATCATTCCAAATTTATAATCTTGAATGCTTCAAATCCAGTGGAATTTCTTGAAGAGCAATCCATCGTCAATTACGACATTTTCAGTAAAAATATGGATTTTCATTGAAATTTACTTGTCATGGGTGAGTTGACATATACTGACCAGTGTACACACATTCTAGAATCTTGCGAGGCCTGTAAGAGTAGGCACGAACAGGAGCAGTTCACTGTCACGTGAAAGCGTTGCCAGTGAGACATCATCGAGGGCTTTCTATTGAAGCGAAGCGAGCACGCGTCGCAGCTTGGTCATTGCCCCGTGTGCGTGTGCGTGCGCTTGTGCGCGACTAGGACTCTTGACTCTTTAAAAGCCTTTCCGCACATATCACATGAATACGCGCTCTCTCCCGTGTGCCTGACCTTGTGTCTGTTGAGGCTGCCTGACTGATTAAAAGTTTTTCCACACTCATCGCATGAATATGGTCGTTCTCCCGTGTGCATAAGCTTGTGCCTGGTGAGGTGGCATGCCTGTCTAAAAGCCTTTCCACACACGTCACATGAAAATGATCGCTATCCCGAGTGCGTGCGCTTGTGGGCGGCGAGGGTGTCTGACTGACTAAAAGCCTTTCCGCACACATCACATGAATACGGTCGCTCTCCCGTGTGCGAGCGCTTGTGCCTGGTGAGGTTGCTTGACTGACTAAAAGCCTTTCCGCACACGTCGCATGAATATGATCGCTCTCCCGTGTGCGTGCGCTTGTGGGCGGCGAGGGTGCCTGACAGACTAAAAGCCTTTCCGCACACATCACATAAATATGATCGCTCTCCCGTGTGCGAGCGCTTGTGCCTGGTGATGTTGCGTGAATGACTAAAAGCCTTTCCGCACACATCACATGAATATGATCGCTTCCCCCTGTGCGAGCGCTTGTGCCTGGTGAGGTGGCATGACTGTCTAAAAGACTTTTCGCACACATCACATGAATATGATCGCTCTCCCGTGTGCGTGCGCTTGTGCGTGGTGAGGTTGCCTGAATGACTAAAAGCCTTTCCACACACATCACATGAAAACGGGCGCTCTCTCGTGTGGCTGTGCTCGTGCCTGGTGAGTGCGCTTGTCTGATTAAAAGCCTTCCCGCACACACTGCACACATATGGTCGTTCTCCTGTGTGTATGCGCTTGTGAATGATGAGGTGGCATTGAGCCGTGAAAACCTTCCCACATACGTTGCATGAATGAAGCCCCTTCCTCGTGTGCCTGCGTTTGTGGAGGGCACGAGTAGCTGCTTTATCAAGTGCTTTTCTGGGCACGTCGCGTGGGTGCGTACGCTCTCGCTCCCTCTTGTGCCTGCGCTGGTGAAGGGCGACAGCTGCTGCGGTAGTGAAAGCCTTCCCGCACACGTCACACGGATGAGGCCTCTTCACCTTGTGCCGCCGCTTGTCAAGTGCGAGAGCCTTGGAACATTGGCGCTCTGCATCCAGCGTGGGAGGCACGAGGTCGCTGGTCGCGGTGGAAGATGCTCCGCAGACGCCGCGGCGCAACGGCTGCGTTCCCGAGTGCTGGCGCTCGTGGTCCTCGAGGGCCCTCGAAGAGGCGAAGATGGCGTCGCAGTCGCGGCATTGCAGAGTCGGCATCCGTATCAGGCGCACGTGAGCCTGCAGCTCCGGCGCTGAGGGGACAGAGGGACGGGGGACGCTGTTAGCAGACCCCTCTGGCATCGTCTGGCCCTTGTCTTGTTCCTGGTCCTCGTCCTGTGGCGTTGGAGATCCCTCTGCGCCTGCGAACGGCCGAAAAGCAATTTTCTGTACTCACGAAACACAACTGAACTGACTACACTACGGAAACCAGTCCACACTTTCGCGTTGCAATGTCCGTTTAAAGGTGAAGTAGTAAGAAATATTATGGTATCAAGACGTAGGTTGAGTTATTGGATGATGAGTGTTCGAGGACCTGTGTGAAGGACGGAAAATGTCACCAACAAATTTAGAATGGAATATTGAAGCCCCATCCATAACATCTATAACCTAAGGGTGCGACTGTCACCTATGGCTGTGTACCTATGGTATCCATAATGGCTCTGCACAATTGCTCAATAGGTTACTCCACATTCAAACAACATAATTTTAAAACATCTCAGATTCTGATCAAATTTGACACATTGGTAGTATGAATGAAACATAAGAAAATATAACTTTCGAGTACAATATTCTTAACAATTGGAAAATTTAGAAAACATTCCGTATACGTTCCCAAACTGATAGTGCAAGTTTAAACATGGGACTGCAGAGGCTTTAAATGACACTTTTTTCCATTATAATCCATAGGTTTTCTGGTCATGACTTGCTTAATTTATAAACTAAGATGAAGTTACATTAGAACTCTAGTTGGTTGACAGCTTTTAAAAGCTTCACGAGTTAGTAACGTTTCTTCCACTGACAAATTGTACTCTCCGTGTTTGACTCAGGAACATTTTGATGTACCAGCTGGTTTTAAAAATCTTTTCAACTTTATCCTTGCTCTCACCTTTTGCCAGAACATACGCCACCCATCTGTTATTTTCATAGATTATGGTTATTTTCTCTACCTTCTGTCAATTCTCCAGATGCTGTAACTCTTTCTATGGTTGACTCATTTGAATCTGAGGTCTTCACTTTTAGTTTCGAATTCCTCAAAGGGATAAAAGCATGAAGTTTTTGAGTGCCTGGTATATTTAAAGACTTGTTTAGACGATTTTTCAAAGAATGTTGTTTCTGCAAATTCATCATGGGTAATAAACAAAATTTGTCAGAAAAATGTTCTGAAGTGCCCACTCATACAACTAAAATCTGTTAATCTGATCACTGTCCCACCAACACCGTCCGTCACATGGCCATTTAACATGTGCTGTTGCTGAAAAATGGCAATCTTACTCAATAGTCAAGACCTCTTTGTGAGAACACACGTTGTAAAGTTTTTATCTAATTTTGAAGTGGGCTCATGACCCATCTGAAAAGTAGAAAATATTCTTAACATTTCCTCAACAAACTTACTTCTCATTCTCAGGAAGTCAAAAAGATATTTTTTGTTTATTTTTGGAAACGGTACACTGCAACTGTGTTATGCTCCAAGCAGAAAGAAATTACCACAAAACTTTCGTGCTCATTTTTTTCTCTTTTGTAGTCTTCCACAAGTGAGTGGACTGTGGCTTGCCCTTTGGTCCAGTGGTAGCTCTAAGCTTCGTCTTGTAGAACAAAACTAGTTTTTCGCAAACTCACAAATTACAAGAAATTCTGAGACCTCTAGGACTTCCTTAACCCCCTTTACTGCTTGGCGACAAAAGCATGCCAGTCCTGTCAGACGCGGCGGAGATGGTGTAATGGTTAGTGTATCGGATTGTTATACCCAAGTTGGCGGGTTCTAACCAGATCGACGCCATGGATAATTAAGGGCGAAAAAATCTTTAGTAAGCCTTCCTTCGGAGGGGAAGTAAAGCCGGCTGTCCCATGTTAGTAGATTTACTTGCATGTAAAATATCCTCAAGCCTAAATGATGCTTATGAGCTAAATTCAAATCGCCTTTACGTCGACCAAGAAATACTTCTTTCTCAAGTAGCAGTTAACAGAAGCAGAGTTGCACAGTACTTTTGTCAGATTGTAGAAGGGTAATTTGTCGTTTGTTAGGGAATCAATCTTAGCATTTTTCTATCATTCGTGAACACACATACGGAATACGTACCACTAGAATCAGCCAGAACTCTGTTATTAGGACGAAGCTCATGATCACCAGAAAGTTTTAGGAAAGACTGCGGTATGATAGAAGTGTTTCAAGCTGGGTGCAAGTGGCAACAATTTAGCCTGCCACTGTCAATGAGTGTGTTTTAACAAGTGACCCATTCATTTATGCAGGAATATGCAGCTTTGATTCAAACCAAACCTGGAAAATATCCCCTTTCCGCATGATCACAAAATAAATTTCTTTTATATTTCAATGATGTCAGAGATGTTATCTTGCAAAATGATATGAATTGATAATTTTACAAAATAGAATATATGAATAATAATAATAATAATAATAATAATAATAATAATAATAATAATAATAATAACGCACAACACACTCGCCAACAAAAATACATTAGAAGATAAATTTGCGGGCTGGTAGGTCCTGGACCAGTTGGCATTGAAGGGCCAAATGTCTTTGGCCCTTCAATGCCAACTGGACTACGGCCTACCATCCCGGAATTTTTATCTTCAATTGACATCGGCCGTGAATGCCTAAGATGCTATATAAAAATACATTAATTTAATAAATTGTTTGTATTAATGTTTGAAGGTATTGTCAGCAATCCGAGGCTGCCGCAGGACGAGCACAAGGTATTGGTAGCATTCTGTGGCTGTAGTTTAACAGCCCGACTAGACGCAATAGGAGCCTTTGCACACACGGGCGATCTCTACGGCCAGGAATCAATCACTGCACCGTGTAGCATTCTTATCAGAGTTACACCGACTTCGTTGGATCAGGGAATCTACTGTCACTGTAGGGCATGACTGGGAAGTACTAGGGTTCGAGTACCGACGGCGGAAGGATTTTCGGCACTAGCTACGCGAATTCAGCCGCTGTCTGTAGGAGAAATATAGCGGACGGCTGCTTAGAGCGGTATTCTTTTGTAGTTTCTCCTATCAACACTACGCCGAAGAAGTACCTAAAAAAAGGACTAGGCGTAATATTCCTCCCGTAGTCCTATCCTAATCTCATACACAACGAGACTTACATGCAAGCCATTTCCTCTTATGTCGGGAGCGTAGAGCTTGTCCGGGCTGATGGAAAAAACCTGATGAGGGAAAACCCCGCCAGCTGAAGTGGAGGTCGGCGCAGGATCCCACTATCCTGCGGGGAAGATTACCTCCACCTCCTGTGATAAACGTGCACTACGCAACCGATGACCCCAGCAGTTTACGCACCCGGACACACGTTTCGTGATCTCTAACCTCAAATTCCGAGAAACTCTTCCGAAATAATCGAAAATACGAAATAATCTATCGGAAGTGTTTCTCGGAATTTGATGTTAGAGATCACGAAACGTGGTCTGTCATATTTTTCACACCTAAAATGGTCACAGGTACCTTAGATTACATAGTACTCGCAATGGTTGGCATTACACTATATGAGCGAAGAAATTGACTATGCTACTCGGGAATACTGTGGTGAACATTTGTTGCACCTCGTTAATATTGTGTGAAGTGCCATTAAAATGATACTAAAATCGATGAAATATGCGAAAATGCATTAAAAATGACGTAAGCAGATAAAAAAATGACAGTCGAAATGTACGAAAATTGCAAAAAATGGCCTATAATAATTTCCTTTTACCATAATATAAAATTAATTTCTACACTCTACGTTGTCCTAGTGACATTTCATTAAAATCCGCCCCCTAGTGATGTTAAATTTTGAAAGAGCAGTTAAGATGGAATTTGCAACAACGCACAGTAATTCTGCGAAAATTATGTCTTCAAAATGTTGCGAGCTACAGATCTTTAATATAAAATGTAATGTCCTATTTTCACGCCAGTGAAGATGTGTTTGGAAAGTTGTCATCAATGCTCGCTGTGAGCTTCAGCCTTCAACTATTTATTGTGCAGAGCGGGTGAAGCAAGATCATTGTTCAAAAAATGTTGCGCAATTAATACCAATTTTGTTTCCGATACTAAACATCTCTCAAAATCAAGACATTATGAAAACTTATCACATTTCAGCCCTAATTTACGGTACATCAGACATACAAAATTGGGAGAATTCATAGCACCAACAGAATAGAAAATATTACATCATGTGAAAATTAAAACACGCACTAACATCAAATAAATTGAAATGCTAGTGCTAACTAACAATCGAGGGTACATGATTTTAGTCACTAGTGAAGATGTTTGGCTTTCAAGGAAATAATTAACCATACATCAATTTTCACTAGTCAATGAACTCAAAATTAGAGGATCATTTATTACCAACCACAGGAGAAAATAAAAAAAAGATGTATCAAAATATCATGAATGTAAAAAAAAAAAGATTATTTCCTCTCCACTGATGTGATATTTCCCAAAGAAAGAACAAACACCTATGAACTTCAAATTACATATAACAACAAAATATTTAGAAGGTAAAAGATTGAAAGATAATTCTTTACTTACCAGAGCTGGGATTGAGATTTTTGTCATGGGTAAGTTCTGTTTCTTCAGCCATTTCTTCAGTGTCGTTTCCAGGCACATCCAAGGTATTTGTGGATTCTCCCTCTGAATCATCTGCTTCATTACTCAATGGCATTGATAGTTCAGGTAGTGACTCGTTGTTTTGTTCGGACAGCTCTGGAGCTAAAGACAACTCGCAGGCTGAATGAGTAACAGGTGGTGGTTGTTGTTTTGTTTGCTGCAGCTGTTGCTCATTAACTTCCTGTTGCAGTTGTAATTGCTGCTCTTGATGTTGTTGCTGTCGCTGCTGCTCCTGCTGCAGTATCACCAAAGCTGAATTTACATTTGAATGAAGAGACTCCCTACTTCCTGCAAACAAAAGGGAAGTATTGTTTTTCTATAAAGTAAATGATCTGTCAGTATCCTGCATTCAAAGAAAACAAACCATTTACCTTGTTTACAACAATATTTTCATTCAGAGGTGGTAAAAAGCGCATGCATTACATCACAATAGAAAACGTGCTCATGCAGTACTCAGCAACAACAAGCCCCAATGCTCTATATAGCACAAGACTCATCTACATAAATTAAATTGTACTGCCTCTCTGAAACTTCAAAGTAATTGCCCCAATTATATGGTTAGTTTCATGATATGAAAAGCACATTCTCATGTTTTTACAATATTTGTCATAGGTCTGTTTCTCCAGGGTTCTTGAATGGCTAATATTATTTCAATGTGTTTCTCATTGAAACGTACAAAATTTTAAAGAGCAAAACTTAATCTTCTATTTCTTCTAATTATTAATTTCTATTACACACACAATAGGTTTTTTTTTTCTTTTCATGAAATTCCAGTTTTATACCGTTCTTTAAAAAATTGTTTACACTGACCTTCACAGAAATAGAAAAGTTACTGTCTGCTTGAGATTTCATAAAAATGTCAAAATGTAAGAGTACCTTTAAGAATATTTCAAAAATGGTGAGTTATTTTACAAATAGTAAAAACTTCCTTCAAGCTTATTAATTTTCAAGTCAAGCTGATTTTCCCCCCTTTAATTTTCAAGTCAAGTTCTTATCAAGTTGATTTTCCCCCCTTTTCAATATGGAGCCATTTTTGAGAAAATTTAGGAAATGTACAAAAAGCAGTTGAAAAGTAGCCTCAAAATTAAAAGATCCATTACAGACACACACAGCCTTAACAAAATAATTCTCACTACATTTTCTCAGAAGATTTCCTTGTGTCACTCCAATGAACTCTCAGTTTTATTGATTATTGCAAAATTTAGAACCCTGTAATCAATTAAATGTAATTTTTCTTTTCCACTTACAGTACAACAGATAGACAGATATCTCTTAACAATGTTTGCAATCACTTTATAGCTCAAATTGCACTTCGACATCAGTACTACATTACACACTTACTCAATATAAACATATTACAACAGAAAAACCATAACAACATGAAACCACAATAATGATAACTAGCTTAGCCTGGCGCCTGTAGCAGTAGGTACTTTCATGGTGACAATTCATATTTGTGCTAGGCAAGTTCTAGCCTTAAGAAAAGATTATTACAAGAAAAATAATCGAGGTCCTTCTTTTCTAGTTTCACTACATCTTTTCTAGTTTCACCTATCATCTATATAATGGATTGCGTCCAATGGAGCCAGTTTGAACTGGAAATAATATAGAAATCCACTGCATTTCAGCACAGTAGGTGTCTTCAAGTTCTTTCAAACATGTTTTTTTTTCTCAAAAGTTTGTATAATTTTCTGCAAAGATATAGCTAGCAAATTAGAAACATGGTTTTTTGATAATTCGTTTCCAAATTAGCTTTTTTTTTTGTTAAACTGTTTGATGAAGTCATATTAATCTGTAAGAGCTGAAAAGAGAATTAAATACTTGATGCCTTTTCACCAATGCTCTCATAGGCTTTGGAGACTATCAAACACGTGTTTCTCTAATTCTTCCACAATGTCAGGTAAGGTCTAAGAATTGTGGCAATCGATTAATCTTGAGCTGAGGAATTAAATGAGCTATTGATCACTTATATCTGTTATACTAAGACATCCAAAATGCATTTTAGTTTCTTAACACTCCATTACTGCGGCATGTCTTGGAGCCCGGGCCTATCAAATATCTTATTTATATTACAATCCTTTCTCTTAAGTTAGTATTTGCAAGAAAGTAAAAACTGACAGGTTTTGTATTTACTGTAGCTCAAAAGTGCATTTTATTTTGGTACAATTTATGTGCAAAGAGTTACAAGTTTAGTGGTTAGCAGCAGCAGCAAAAAACACCGTGAAGAAAACCTCATGCAGGTAGCCTCTTCATTGAAGCCTTGCTGTTAGAGAAGGATTTTCCTAAGGATGGGATGATTTGACAGCTAGTGCTAGCAACACAACTGACGATTCTGTGTCCTTGAACTAAATAGACTCTCCTTCCTCCATTCGTTCGTTTGC